CCTGAAAAGCAACCCCACACCATAATCCCCCGACAAACCCAGACATGTCCATCGGATTTCCAGACAAGAGAAGCATGATTCGTTACTCCAGCGAAGATGTCTCCACTGCTCTAGAGTCCAGTGGTGGCATGCTTTACACCACTGCATTCAATGCTTTGCATCACACTTGGGGATGTAAGGCTTGGATGCCATGGAAACCCATTCCATGAAGCTCTCTACGCACTGTTGTTGTACTAATCTGAAGGCCACATGAAGTTTGGAGGTCTTCAGCTATTGACTCTGCAGACAGTTGGTGACTTCTGTGCACTGTGTGCTTCAGCATGCACTAACCCCGCTCTGTCATTTTACGTGGCTGAGTTGTTGTTGTTCCCAGTTGCTTCCACTTTGTTATAATACAACTAACAGTTGACCGTGGAATATTTAGTAGCAAGGAAATTTCCACGGATGGCAACCTATCTTGGTACCACACTTGAATTCACTGAACTCCTGGGAGGAACCCATTCTTTCAGTAAGGTTTGTAGCAGCAGTCTGCATGCCTAGGTGCTTAACTTTATACACCTGTGGCCATGGAAGTGATTGGAACACCTGAATCCAATGATTTGGAGGGGTGTCCCAATCCATTTGGCAATATAGTGTACACACCTTAGACTCTATTCTAGTAGGTAGTTTTCTAGTGGGTACCAGTGATATTACTAAGCCGCAGACACCTGGGAAAGCTGAGGAACCCAAATGTTTTGACAATGCACTCCTGCACTAGATAGACAAAGTGACAGGGGAATTTTAAAGTGGCTATAAAGCCATACATTTTTTTGACCTTAATGCATTCCCTGCATTAAAGTATAAACTCTCCCAGTAGCATTATCGGCCCTCACCCCATAAATACTTACCTGAGTCCTCACTTAGTTTAGCGCTGTGCCCCTCTCTAGTAGCTCTCTCCTCTCTTCCTGCATTCACAGGACACAGAGGCAACAGTGGGAGCCATTGGCTTCTCCTGTTGTCAATCAAATTATGTGAACAGAGGCAGGGGTGGACTGACAACTCATGGGGCCCCCGGGCAATAGGGGATCATGGGGTCCCTGTGTCCTTGCCCAAACTCAAAAAAGCCTATGAAAAAGGTACCAGGGGCATCTCATGGGACCCCCTACTGACCCCGGGCCCTCGGGCAGTGCCCGCATTTCCAAATGGTCAGTTTGCCCCTGAAGAGAGGGCAGGGGTGGGTCTCAATGAAAAATATACCATTGGATTACTAACATGAAAACTGGGCTCAACACTTATGTTGAAGGAGACCTGCATGTAGCAAACCATTCAAACAATTACTTCTGTTCAGTCCTCTGAGAAATAAATTGTGCTAGAAAAAACAAGTTGGGGAATCATTTTGTTTTCAGTAATGACTGGAATTTTTAGGAGACAGAGGTAGTGGCTTACTGGGGTGGCATGAAGAGAAGGAGGATCCTAGAGTCCTGGCAGGAGACCCCAGAAGTTGAGGTCTGGTGCCTCTTTGTGCAATAACTTTGAACAGAGCAAGTATATATAGCATAATTATTATTTTAGAAAAAAAAACTTTCATTACTCTGTGCTGGTGGGAGGAGTTGCTCGTCTCCTGAAAACTCCAGTTTCTTGCACTCATTTGCATCTCTACTGATTCCCACATATACACAGTAATTGGTCTATTAAACTTTAAGGACTTTAAGGAAAGTGGTGTGGACTCAAGGTGAATGGCCTTGTCAATGAGTTGGGTCTGTGTGTGGACAAGTCTGCACAGCGCAGCATAATGCATACGATGTGAATGAACCCTAATGCCTTGTTGTTTACCTGTTTATTTAGTCTCTATTCAAGCTTTTTCTTTTGTGTGCTCTATTTTGCATCATTGATTTCTTTTTCATAGTCTTTTGTGTTTCTTACATTTTCTTCTGTATGTACGTTTTATGTTTGCACATTTATCTACATATTGTTCAATTGCTCATTGCCCTCCACAAAGTTGGTTGCTTCACTTGCTTTTGCACTTTTGTTTTGTGACGTTTTCTTTAACTCATGTTTCATGCAGAATACCTCCCTTGTGCCTTTTATACCTCTGCATTTTAATATAAACAATGTTTTTCATTTACCTCTAAACATGATCGCTCTAGCTTGTATTTCTCCTCATTTTCCCTGTTGCTTTCCCTCACTTTTGGTTAGCCCTTAATTCAAGACATCTGATGTAAAGTCATGGCCAGCTTCGAGCTCTTTCATTAAATGCTTCAAATCATCCTGCAAAGTCCTTTCACTTTTGTCTGTAAGACGATGGTGTGGTTTTATGAGGGGATGATGAAGTCCCAATTTAATATCTTCCAGATTTTTTTCACTGCTCACTGGAGGGTTCAGCGGAAAACTCCATATGGAATATTTCTTACAAGAGTCAATTGAAGGCTTGTGCAAAAGTAAATTTATAAAAGTGTTCATAAACTTCTTCTAATATTGGGTTTTTCCTTGACACGTGTTGCTTTTCTAATGTTTAGGCTTTGCTGCTATATCCAGACCAATCAACCATTTTTGCTAAAGGACCTAAGATTCTTTCACAGTTAAAAGTAATTACTTACTTGGCACCACATTGAATGCCCCAGTAGTAGAGTCTATTATGGAAGGAAATGTTAAGCAGTGAACCACTGCTAAGATTACCACAAAAGCAGTATTAAACTGTCGACATTTTTTACAATAATACATTCAGATCAACCAAATACACGTTGCCCAGTAAATTATTTCTTTATAGTTTTGCCCAACCACTTATAGTTTCCAAACTGCTGGCTCCAGCTCTCTGAGCACCACTTTTTCTATGAACTTCCTGACTGTCAGTGGCTATGGCGGGGCTCCAAAGAACCCTGCAAGGCTATGGAGCCACCCACAAATGGGAAACCTGGACCAGATCAATTAATATGGGTATACAATGCAACAGTAACCCTATCGGTCCTGGATTATGTAGCAATAGAAGTCAATATGGACACTGGCAAATAAAAAAACTGTAGACCAGCCCAGGGTATAACCTCTTCTATTACCAGCATGCCAAAGTCACTACAGGTGGGCAGAAGGAATTAATACAAGAACAACGTTCTCCATAGTTCTTGCAGCAAATACAAAAGTGTGGAGATGCTTCCTTGACACTGTGTGATAGGAAAGAGAGCACAAAATATGCCTGTGCAACACTCCACCCAGAGGAAAGATGTCAGCACTTTTTCCCTTACTGTTAACCGATTCCACAACAAATCTGGCAGGAAACAGGGAAAAAGTGCTGCTCAAGGAGCAATAAAAACGTGGAAGCTCCTGTTTACCAAGCCTGAATGGCCTACTCACTAGGTGAGTCTTCAGAGACAGGGCAAGCAAGGAGGGAAACAGGAGACAGAGAGAGAGAAAGAAAGAAAGAGAGAAAGAGAGACGTATAGAAGGAGAGAAAGAAAGAAAGAAAGAGAGAGAGAGAGAGAGAGAGAGAGAGAAAGAAAGAAAGAAAGGAAACAGGAGACAGAGAGACAGAGAGGAAGAAAGAGAGACGTATAGAAAGAAAGAAGGAAGGAGGGAAAGAAAGAAAAAAGGAAGGAAAGGAGGGAAAGAAGGAAGATGGGAAAGAAAGAAGGAGGGAAAGAAACAGGAAAAGAAAGAGGAAAAAAAGAGGGAAAGTAGGAAAGAGGCAAAGAAGGAAGCAGGAAAGAAAGGAGGGAGGTAAAGAAAGAAAGAAGAAGGGAAAGAAGGAAAGGAGAAAAGAGGGAAAGAAGGAAGGAGGAAAAGAAGGACGAAAGAAAGAAGAAAGAAGGAAGAAAGGAAGGATAGAAACAGGAGACAGAGAGATAGAGAGAAGTAAAGAAAGAGAAAGGAGAGAAAGAAAGAAGAAGGGGGGAGAGAAGACACAAGGCTGGCTGGGAGTGTGGGCGGGGCAGACACAGGAGGAGAGGGCGGGAAGACGAGGGACAGCTTTCTCTCTCCTCTCCCATCTGTGGTGGGAGGGGAACTGTCAGTACAGGGGACAGAATATGCTGCCAGATCCTCAGCAGTGCTCTGAGGGATTGGGGGGGGGGGGGGGGGGGGGGGGGGGGGCGGCCGCGGGAGAGCATACAGGAGCCCAGGAGCGACATGCAGCCTGCAGGAGATGGACAGGAGAGGTAGCCAGGCACAACGTAGAGGAACTGAGAAATTCAAGGTCCTCTATGTGCCACTCGGCCCCCTCTCCTATCCAGGCGGCCCAGCCCCAATGGGCAATATCCGGTGTGCCCTATGGCCAGTCCGGGCCTGCTTCCAGCTGTTACTAATCACCCCCACCATTGCAGGAACTAGTTATCAAACTCCCATGCATATGCTCTCTACACTGTCGAAGTAGATCTGACTTTGGTGATGCGGCAATGGAAGAGATAGTGAACTGTGAATGCGTCGGGCGCCGTTCTGTGCAACACCATTGCGAAGAGCAGGTGATTAAAGCATGTTTGTTAGTTTAACTTTGAAAAAAAAGCAGACTTTAATTACACTTTAACCACTTGCCTACAGGGCACTTATACCCCCTTCCTGCCCAGGCCAATTTCCAGCTTTCAACGCTCTCACATTTTGAATGACAACTGCACGGTCATGCAACACTGTACCCATACTACATTTTTATAATTTTTTTGAGACATATAGAGCTTTCTTTTGGTGGTATTTAATCACCTCTGGGTTTTTATTTTTTGCTAAACAAACCAAAAACAACTGAAAATTCTGAAAAAAAAAAAGTTCTTAGTTTCTATTATAAAATTTTGTAAATAAGTGATTTTTCTCCTTCACTGATGCGCTAATGAGGCTGCAGTGATGGGCACTGATAGGCTGCTCTAATGGGCACTGATAGGCGGCACTGATGGGCACTGATGAGGCACTGATAGGTGGTACTGATCGGCATTGACAGACATCACTGATGGGCAATGAAAGGCAGCACTCATATATGGCACTGATAGGTGGCACTGATAGGCGGCACTGACTGGCACTGTTAGGCAGCACTGACGGGCACTGATGCGCACTTATAGTGGCACTGACTGGCACTGATAGGCGGCACTGACTGGCACTGATAGGTAGCACTGATAGGCGACTTTGACTGGCATTGATAGGTGGCACTGACTGGCACTGATAGGTGGCCCTGAAAGGCAGCTCAGATGGGCACTGATATGTGACACTGATGTGCACTGGTAGACATTGATATGTGGCACTGATGTGGCACTGATGGGCACTGGCAGGTGGCATTGAAGGGCACTGACAGTTGGCACTGCTGGGGCTACACTGATCATCAGGGCACACTGATCATCAGTGCCCTAATGAGCAGTGTAGATGTCCTCTCTGAGTACTGCCGATTACCGGCTCTCCTCTCCTCACGAGCTGTCATGCTGATAACTGGCATTTCCTTATTTACATGCGATCAGCAGTGATTGGACACAGCTGATCACATGACAGAGCCAACGTCTTCGGCTCTTTCCGTTGATCGGTGATCCGCTGTGACCCAGGGATACAGTGCACCACCAATTACCATGCTGCGCACCTCTGGGGGCGCTCAAGCGCGGTTAGAGTGGGAGGACATCATATGATGTCCTCCCAGAATGAGAGAACTGGGAGGAGGCAGTTAAAGATGTCTCTGTTGCTCCTCCAGTGGAGTGGAGATATCCTAAGGCAGGAAATGTGGTACTGGCCAGATCACCAGATGAAATAAAGCAAATAAGGCCTAAAATAGAAAATGTATGCAGCCACAACAACTAAGAATTAGCAAGCTGCAATATGTTATATTTTTGTGGTTAGGTTTAGGATCACTTTAAACTTTAACGTTTTTTTTTGTTGTTTTTTTAAATAACAAACATGTCATACTTACCAACCATACTTACCAAACCATTGCACAGAGCAGCCCTGATCCTCCTTTTCTCTGATCCCCTGCCAGGGCCCAGGACAAGAGGGAGGCAGCGTGACAGGGGGGGGGCAGCGTGATGGGTGGGGAGGCAGAGGGACAGGTGGAGGGCAGAGGGACAAGTGGGGGGGGGGCAGTGTGATGGATGCACGGGACAGGATTGAGGCAGCGGGACAGGAGGAGCGCAGTGGGACAGGAGGAGGAGTGCAGAGGGACAGGAGGAGCGCAGGATAGGTGAGGGGCAGTGAGACAGGAGGGGCAGAGGGACAGTTGGGGGGCAGTGTGACGGGGGCATAAGAAAGGATCGGGGCAGCGGGACAGGAGGTGCGCAGAGGGACAGGTGAGGGGCATTGGGACAGGAGGAGGGCAGCGTGACGGGGGGCATGGGACAGGATCAGGGCAGTGGGACAGGAGGAGCGCAGTGGGACAAGTGAGGGGCAGTGGGACAGGAGGAGCGCAGAGGGACAGGTAGGGGGCAGCGTGATGGGGAGGCATGGGACAGGATCAGGGCAGCGGGACAGGAGGAGCGCAGTGGGACAGGAGAAGCACAGAAGGATAGGTGAGGGGCAGTGGGACAGGAGGAGCACAGAGGGACAGGTGAGGGGCAGTGAGACAGGAGAAGGGCAGCGTGACGGGGGCATGGGACAGGATCAGCGCAGTGGGACTGGAGGGGCGCAGTGGGACCAGAGGAGCGCAGAGTCACAGGTGAGGGGCAGTTGGACAGGAGGAGCGCAGAGGGACAGGTGGGGGGCAGAGTGACGGGGGCCATGGGACAGGATCGGGGTGGCGGGACAGGAGGACCGCAGAGGGACAGGTGAGGGGCAGTGGGACAGGAGGAGCGCAGAGGGACAGGTGAGGGGCAGTGGGGACAGGAGGAGCACAGAGGGACAGGTGGGGGGCAGCATGGCGGGGGGCATGGGGGACAGGTTCAAGGCAGCGGGACAAGAGGAGCGCAGTGGGACAGGATCAGGGCAGTGAGTGGGACAGGAGGAGCGCAGAGGGACTGGTAGGGAGCAGCATGATGGGGGGGCATGGGACAGGATTGGGGTAGAGGGACAGGAGGAGTGCAGAGGGACAGGTTCAAGGCAGCGGGACAAGAGGAGCGCAGTGGGACAGGATCAGGGCAGTGAGACAGGAGGAGCGCAGAGGGACTGGTAGGGGGCAGCGTGACGGGGGGCATGGGACAGGATTAGGGCAGAGGGACAGGAAAAGTACAGAGGGACAGGTGAGGGGCAGTGGGACAGGAGGAGCGCAGTGGGACAGGTGAGCGGCAGTGGGACAGGAGGAGCGCAGTGGGACAGGTGAGGGGCAGTGGGACAGGAAAAGGAGGACAGAGGGACAGGAGAAGGAGCACAGAGTGACAGGAGGAACACAGAAGGATAGGTGAGGGGCAGTGGGACAGGAGGAGCGCAGAGGGACAGGTGGGGGGCAGTGGGGACAGATGGGGGGTATTGGGACAGCGTGGGGGACAGGAGGGGGGAAGTGGGACAGGTGGGGGGCAGTGTATAGGGGAGACAGTGAGACAGGAGTGGGGAAGCACAAGTCCTCCAAACACTTACCTGTCCAGCAGGGGCTCCTCCAGATGGTGTCAAGATCATTCCAGGAGGGGTGCCTGTGTCCCATCACCCCCAGGATCTCCGGCGGTGGCTGTAAAAGAGTGGGGGGCTCCTCCACCCTGACCTCATCCTCTTCTTCCTCCTCCGCTGACACCGTCTGGCCTTCCTGCACATCCCGGCGCACACTGACAGCGGGTCCCACCCCTCAAATGCTCCTAGCACTCACTGGGGATCCGCCCACCACTCCGCTCTCCTCTGCAGCCGTTTCCTTGGCCCGGGTGATCCTCCTTGTGTGTCAGCTGTAACCTCAGCTATGGCGGCCCTGCCGCTGACACACAAAGTGTCCCTTCTGCCTGGGGGGCATACCGCCCCCCCCTGTAAACTGCCGCCCTAGGCAAACGCCTTGTTTGCCTCGCAGCAGATACACCCTTGGCTATGGGGGCACTTGTGAGGGCTCATTCCTAAGTCACCTCTGTATGCCCAGTCCCTGCTCCCTGCTTACTGGCTCTAATTGACTTCAGTGGGAGCCAAGGAAAAGTGAGAGAGCCAGGAAAGCTTTGGCTCTTGTGCACATCGCTGGATGGAGATTGGGCTCAGATGAGCATAAGGGAAGGCTGGTGGGAAGCTGCATTCAGAAGGTTTTTTACCTTCATGGATAGATTGCATGAAGGTAAAAATCTTCTGCCTTTACAACCACTTTAAGACTTCCTGTGTCTTTCAATGGACCAGAAAAAACACATTCAATAATTCTGGAAGAATAGGTAACTAGAGTTAAAGTGTTACTAAACCCACAACAGTATAATCAGTCTGTATATACAGTAAAGCATGCTTGTTATACTCACTGTGGAACTTAAGGGGTTAATCCTCTGCATTGTGTAAAAATGCTGTTTGATCCTGCCTTCTCTGATCCTCCCTTTCTTCCAGTGCCCCCCTCTTTTCTCCTGATAAGACATATCATGTGGAGACACTCTGTGCACATGCTCAGTTTTGGTGTGTATTGCTAGAGAGGTTTTGTTTTGTTTTGTCTTGTTTTGTTTTGTTTTGTTTTCTTGGGAGAGTGCATGTGATCAGCACAGGGCCAATCAGCATTATCCAGACAGAGGTCAGGGGTACTGCATCCTCCTAGAGCAGAAAGAAAACTCCTCCTGCAAGCTTTAACCAGTGCTCTGCTGAACACTGATAGAAGTCACAAGACTGCTCTAACTGCTGATGATAAAAGGTATTTAGCAGTTTATATTTAGTAAAATAATTGTACTTCCATGTTCTGTGTACAGTGGGAGGAGATATAGTGAATGCAGGGTCCTGGGTTTAGTAACACTTTAAGGTTATCTTCTTGGTAACTGAACACTTGTTATAGAAAGTGCTTTAAATACATGCTAATCTTACGGGGGGCAGGTATTTAGGTATTTAGGTAAGTGCAAGTCCCCTTCAGATCAAATCCAGAAACATTTTGAAACATTGTGGAACAGCCTCTTTCCCAGAAGGTGTATTATCCAGCTCTTCAGTATTTCATTACACAGTGCTCAGTCCTGGAAATACGTAATAATCTGCAGCTGCAGTGCTAAAACAGATCAAACTGAAAATTATAAGTGGGCTTTGAGTTCAAGTAGGATGTACAGTGATTCACTGCTGTTGTTTTTGTAGTATCCATTTTTGTCATGACTGCTGCTCCCTGAACCAGTGATCCTACAGAATGAGTCATTATGTACAGCACTATTTTCACCATGTATAGCCTCATATCTCTATGGAACATGCAATTATACTTCTCATTTACATTCCCGTACCATAACTGCAGTATATAATGTATCAGTATACATCCCAGCAAAAAATAATATCCTCATATCAACAATTATTTCTTCTGGACAGAATTATGGCCATAATAAAGGTAGGTATTGCTTAAATTAAGGAATGAATATTTACCATTTCTACTGAAATAAAATGTCTCTACAATGACATGGATCACCACCAACTGCCAGTGTGCAGCAGTTGAATATAAATGCAAGAAATGACCATTAGATGTAATGGTCATTTCTTGCATTTATATTCAAGGGATAAAACTGTGTATGGCCAGTTTTAGCCTTAAAAACTATGCTGCAGACCTTTACGTAAGCTTGCTTATATGTTTATACAAATCCAATGAAATACAAAAATGTTTAATACTTATAGATATGCTGGTAGGTTAATTGGCTCCTGTCCAAACTGGTCCTAGTATGTGTACAGTTGTGTTCAAAATAATAGCAGTATGTTGAAAAAAGTGAATAAAGCTCAAAATCCTTCTAATAGCTTTTATTTCCATACACACAAATGCATTGGGAACACTACACATTCTATTCCAAATCAAAACATGAAGAAAAATATATCAAATTTGTGTTGTTCCTCTAAAAAAATTGAAGAAAAGTGAATATTAGACTGTTCAAAAAAATAGCAGTGTTTGTATTCTTCTTTACAAACTCAAACATTCACTATATAAACTGAAAAATGTTTGAAGATTTTGCTTTCCTTTGAATCACTTAATGAATATTTAGTTGTATAAGCACTGTTTCTGAGAACTGCTGTACATCTGTGTTGCATGGAGTCAACCAACTTCTGGCACCTGTGAACAGGTATTCCAGCCCAGGATGATTGGACTACATTCCACAGTACTCTATTTCTTGGTTTTGCCTCAGAAACTGCATTTTTGATGTCACCCCACAAGTTTTCTATTGGATTAAGATCCGGGGATTGGGCTGGCCACTCCATAACATCAATCTTGTTGGTCTGGAACCAAGATGTTGCACATTTACTGGTGTGTTTGGGGTCGTTGTCTTGTTGGAACACCCATTTCAAGGGCATTTCCTCTTCAGCATAAGGCAGCATGACCTCTTCAAGTATTCTGATGTATTCAAACTGATCCATGATCCCTGGTATGCGATAAATAGGCCTAACACCGTAGTATGAGAAACATCCCCATATCATAATGCTTGTGCAACCATGCTTCACTGTCTTCACAGTGTACTGTGGCTTGAATTCAGTGTTTGGGGGTCGTCTGACAAACTGTCTCCGGCCTCTAGACCCAAAAAGAACAATCTTACTTTCATCAGCCCACAAAATGCTGCGCCATTTCTCTTTAGGCCAGTCAATGTGCTCTTTGGCAAATTGTAACCTCTTCAGCACATGTCTTTTTTCAACAGTGGGACTTTGCAGGGGCTTCTTGCAGATAGCTTGGCTTCACATAGGCGTCTTCTAATTGTAACAGTACTCACAGGTAACGTTAGACCTTCTTTGATCTTCCTGGAGCTGATTGTTGGCTGAGTCCTTGCCATTTTGGCTATTCTTCTATCCATTCGAATGGTAGTTTTTCGCTTTCTTCCACGTCTTTCAGGTTTGGGTTGCCATTTTAAAGCATTTGCGATCATTTTAGCTGAGCAGCCTATCATTTTCTGCACTTCTTTATATGTTTTCCCTTCTCCAATCAACTTTTTAATCAAGGTACGCTGTTCTTCTGAACAATGTCTGGAACGACCCATTTTCCTCAGAATTTCAGAGAGAAATGCACTGTAACCAGCATGTACAACATTTGCTGCCTTCCTTCCTTAAATAAGGGCAATAATTGCCACCTGTTTTTCAAAGAATGAATGACCTCACTAATAGAACTCCACACTGCTATTATTTTGAACATGCCCCTTTCAATTAGTGATTCAATTACACAGAATCAGCAGCATGCATGTCATGACTGTTGGGTCTGTTGGATTTCTATTACTCTACTACACCTGCTGCTAGTAAATTATTTGCCATGTAGAAATATCATTTCTACCAAAAACAGTGATCAGGTTAGTGATGTCTGACTGCTATTATTTTGAACACAACTGTATGTATGAATGTGAGTTAGGGACCTTAGATTGTATGCCCCATTGAGGGTTAGGGACTGATGTGAATGTGCAATATATATATATATATGTAAAGCGCTGCATAAATTGACAGTGCTATATAAGTACCTGTAAATAAGTACAAATAAATAAATTGTACAAAACAGTTACACAATGTTTCATTGAACTGCAATATTTGTAATACACACCCAAGGCCTGTAAGGCTTTCCTCGGGTTGTTTCAGATTTCAAAACACACACCATAAATCCAATTGCCTAACTTTGATATGAATAATTTTAAAATGTTTTGTCAGCAAGCAAATGTTTTGACACACATTTGTTCAACAGAAAAGTGGCAGACCATGCACACAGTTGCATAATTGACCTGGAAACTCCATATTTTTAGAATATGGCCAGCAACTGACAAACCAAGCCCGACAATAATGCCATTTTATAAATGTCTTACAAAAGATATGGAGCAAATCTGTATGTTTAGGGGATGCATCATCACTTTAACCACTTGCCTACAGGGCACTTATACCCCCTTCCTGCCCAGGCCAATTTTCAGCTTTCAGCGCTGTCACACTTTGAATGACAATTGCGCGGTCATGCAACATTGTACCAATATGACATTTTTTGCATTTTTTCACACAAATTTATTTAATCGCTGCTGGGTATTTTATTTTTTGTGCTATAAACCAAAAAAGAGTAAAAAATGGGGGGAAAATTTTTTTCTTTGTTTCTATTATAACATTTTGCAAACAGGTATTTTTTTTCTCCTTCACTGATGAGGCTACACTGATAGGCAGCACTGATGGGCACTGATAGGCAGCACTGATGGGCACTGATAGGTGGCACTGATGAGGTGGCACGGATAGGCGGCACTGATAGGCGGTACTAATGAGCTGGTACTGATGAAGCGGCACTGATGATGCTGCACTGATATGCAACAATGATGGACACTGATGAGGCGGCACTGATGGGCACTGATGGGCAACACTGATGGGCACTGATGGGTGGCACTGACTAGCGGCACTGCTGGGCACTGACTGGCGGCACTGATAGGTGGCACTGATGGGAAACACTGACGGGTACTGATGGTTGAACTGATGGGCAGCACTGATAGGTGGCACTGATGGGGGGCACTGCTGGGCACTGGTGGGTGGCACTGCTGGGCACAGGTGGGTGGCACTACTAGGCACTGGTGGGTGGCACTGCTGGGCACAGGTGGGTGGCACTGCTGGGCACTGGTCATCAGGGCACTTATCATCATTGCCCTGATGATCGGTGCCAATCCGTCCTCTGACAATTGCCAGTTATTGGCAGTACTTTTCTCACGCTATGACAGCGTGAGGAAAGTGCAGGCGATAACCGGCAACTGCATTTACAGATGATCTGTTGTGTCATTGGACACAGCTGATCACATGGTAAAAGGCTGCTGTGATTGGCCTTTTACCACATCACGTGATCAGCTGTATCCGTAGGACACAGGGTGTGGGCCCCCCGGGGGCGCGTGGGAGGGTACGATCTGGGAGGACGTCATATGACACCCTCCCAGGACTGGACAACCACTCTGTAGTCATCATTCAGCTATAGCACGGATGGCAAGTGGTTAAAGAGACCCTGTCATTAACATGAAAAATCCTCATTTACAGTGTTTTTCCTTTCCATAAATTATTTTTATTCACTTATAATGTGCCTTTGAACTAGCTAACAAAAAATCTTGACTACACCAGAAGAGTCAATTCGCTAGCACAGACCTCTCCCTCCTTGCACATCATAGCCCTTCCTATTCTAGGAGTGTCTAATTACTCTCTGTGCTAGCCTAGTGCCCCCATCTCTCTACTCGCCTCCCCACATAACCTTTTATGTAGCAGTCGCTACCAGGGGCGGACTGACCATTTGGAGACTCGGGCACTGCCCGAGGGCCTGGCGTCATGAGATGCCCCTGGTACCTTTTTCATAGGCTTTTTTGAGTTTGGGCAAGGACACAGGGGCCCCATGTTCCCCTATTGCCTGGGGGCCCATGAGTTGTCTGTCCGCCCCTGGTCGCTACCATCCAAGATGGCATCACCCAGTAGCAGTTTCAGGGCTTTTAAATGTCTATATAAGGGAGGTTTTTACAGGTAAACAACACTTTTGACAACAGTATCTCATTAAGAGGTTAGTGAAACAAAATCTTGGCAATACTTTTTTTTTTAATTCTTTATTTAAGAAAAACAACAATCCAAATGACAAAAAAAAAACTTCAGACATACAGTATAGGCAGGGTATAATGTACATGAAACTCATAGTCATGATTTCTCTAGGTTTACATATTTTAAGAGGCGAGAGATCCACATAAGTATTCAAAGTAGATCAGAGAAAGGAAGAAAAAGAAAAGAAAGGAAAAAAAGGGGGGGGGGCATCTCCTACACCTCAGTCCGCTCTTCAAGTCCAGAATCTGTGTCACTAGGTGCATGTGGGGAAAGAGCCCCGGGTGTGTTGTTTTACACCCCGGTCACATGAGGTGCAATTTGGCATGCAACTTGCATGCCATGTGACTTGCAAATTGCATGCCAAGTCGCACCGTATTGTGCGGAGCGATGGAGCGGTCATATCGGTGTGGTTTGGAGCTGCACCGATTTCTAAAGTAGTACATGCACTACTTCTGGTGCGATTTGCACAGACATCTGTAAGCGGTATCTTACCGCAACCAAGTATGAGGTAGATTACCGCATAGCATTTTTAAAGAAAAAGTTTGAATTCACTAAAAACCGCTACTAAAATACCGCATGAATTATTTTATCAAATCATGTGGTATTTTAGTAGTGGGGCTCCCTCCCCCCCATATTTACATATTTAAGTACTGTTAAGCAAGCAGAGCAGTCAGGCGGCTGGGAGCCAGTGTCGGGAGTAGAGCCTATTTTTTTTCTTCTTTTGGGTGGCGGCGGCAGCGGGCATCGTGATTGACATTGGATCTACTTTGGTGGACATTCTTTTATTTCTCTTCTTTTAATAAAGGACTTGTCATAGACTGTCTCATGTCTTTTTTCACACTACATTTTTTTTTGTGAATACGTAGTGGTAACATGTACCCCATACTCATTCACATAGGGAGAGGGACCGGGATTTGGGGACCCCCTTGCTAAATGGGGCTTCCAGATTTCGATAAGCCCCCCGCCTGCAGACCCCCACAACAACAGCCCAGGGTTGTTGGGAAGAGGCCCTTGTCTCCATCAACATGGGGACAAGGTGCTTTGGGGGGGAGCCCCCCTGCCCCAAAGCACCCCCCCATGTTGAGGGCATGTGGCCTGATATGGTTCAGGAGGGGGGGCGCTCGCTTGTCCCTCCCTTTCCAGACCCGCCAGGCTGCATGCTTGGATAAGGGTCATTTTTTTTTTCAGATTTTGGTGTGGGATTTCCTCTTAAAATCCAAACCAGACCCAAAAGGTTTGGTATAGATGGAGGGGGGGGGGGGCCCATGCCATTTTTTAATTATTTTTTTAATTGCCGGCAATTCTTTCTTTTACATTCAGCTGTCAGTGGGGAACCCTGCTGACAGCTGAAACATTAACGCATTGGTTTTCACTACTAAAATACGGCATGACTTGATAAAATAACTCTTGCAGTATTTTAGTAGCTTTTTTTTAGTGAATTCAAACTTATTTTTTCAAATGCTATGCGGTATCCTACCGCAAACTCGGATGCGGTAAGATACCGCTTAGTAAATTGTGCCCAGTGTCAGATGTCTTGCAAATCGCACCTGAAATCGGTGGTTCACCCCACTTTGAAATTGTGCAACTTCACTGTAAGTTGCACAATTTCAAAATCGGGCTTGATGTGACCGGGGGCTTACTGAGATACTAAGACAGTTTGGCCCTCATAAACAGACCATGGTATCCATATTTGCCAGTATTGCTCATCTTGGTCCTTTAGAGCCATAGTGAGTTGCTCCATCTGTTGGATCCCTGAGATCCTAGTAGACTATGGTGAGATAGTAGGTGGTGATGTTTGTTTCCACATCATTGGGATGCAAGGGCAGCGTTCAGTAATTAACTTTTGTACTTTTTGATCAGAAGTGGAGCATCATATAATAAGTATGCAGCAGTATTCCTTTTTAGAGACAAACCTGTACTGGTCTTTACTGTTTATTCTACAGACTCTCTCCCATTGTTTCAAAAACAGAAGGTCATGGCAGTTTTCAGTGTCAGTCAAGGAGCTATGGAAAAGTGACAGAGAATGTGGGAGCCCTATCAAGACAAAGTTGTTCAAAGAGGTAAAGATATGTGTATTCTTCTAGCCCTTTAGTAGGTCACAAAGATAACCACTCAGTTGAGCTGTATGTAAAAAACTTATTTGGGAGGAAAGGTGGACTCTAGATCTTTAAACGTCAGGTGTCATTTGGCCAAGGAAAAATGAAACAAGCGAAAGAATCCCTTTTGAATGAGAACAGTAAAGTGAGAGTCTGATTTGTGATTTATAGAATCCAAAATAGGAATTATGGGGCTAGGCAGCGGTGAGAGGGATGTAGTGCAAAACACAGTGCAGATGGTCTGTATGGTTGCTACAACAAGTGAATGTTTATTAATTGTTAAAGGATCCAAAGGATTGGAAAACCATTGGAGCCCAGCTAGAGGAAAGTCAATCAGAGCCTGCTAATGTTTAACCCATGGTTTATAATCAGCTTGGGTATGCCATTCAAGCAATTCTGTCAGGTAGGTTGCCTCATGAACTTAGTCAGATCAGGGAAGCCCATTCTCTCCCATCTTTTTGACAGGATCAAATTGATCATTTTATCCACACCAGTCTTGGCAGTATTTAAGGTTTTTCTATGTTAAACTTGAAGGACAATTTTTTTTACCTTGCTATGTATACTGTAAATGTAACTTGATACACTTACAATACTAGAACAAACAGTTATTCTCTACTGAACATTGTGCAGTCTGTATCTGCTGTCTAAGTGGAATGTGCTCTGTTATGTGCTGAGTCATATAATTAAAGCAGGTAGAATTTAGGATTGTTTAGGATGGATTGTTTTCTCCATTCAGCCAGAGGGCTGAACGAAAAAAAAAAAGACAACGGAGTCCTTCATCCACACAGTTTAGCAAGATGAGAGAATCCTGCCCATGGGTATTCTGACAGTGGGAACTCTCCGCTGATTGAGAAAACATTTCCAACAGGCCTGTTTGACAGAAGTAGATTGTTAAATCAACTGCTGTTGAGCAGGAGAAGCCACACAGGGATTGAAAAATTTGGTTGAATTTCGATCCATAAGTTAAAGGCCTTGTGGGCTAGTGATGAATAACTGACCTAATTCTGCTTTCTCTATATGTATCAGGATCAATACACACAAACATCTCATGGACATCTCAAGTTGCTATGGTCAATAGAATTGGCTTGTGTTTTTTAAACTCTTATGAAGTCCAGATGTAGCAGGTCTGTATGTGTGCACAAACAGCTGTGTCTCTATAAAGAAATTAAAGTGGTAGTGTCAGTTATTCTTTTTAGGGGCCCCCAGGTGGGTTATACCATAATGTACTAGTATGCACAGTGAAACCAGTGAAAATAAGGAAAATGTTTGTTTCTCTGTAGCCACAAGATACTCCAAACCTCCCCCCCCCAACATGTCAGATTTGGGATGAGGAACCCAAGGTCAAAAGTCTGGTTGTAAGGCAGCAGCTTACCTATCACTTCAGGACACAAATAGTCACATATTTGCCCTTACAGTACCAGTTTTTAAACATGCACACTGAGTCCTTGGGCAAGTAGTGGTCTGTACAATTAGTAGCAGTACCCATAATCAACAGAGCAAGGCTGTCAATTGGACAGCCTACTCCTTCTTTGTGAATCAGGAGGTCCTGTACAAAGGAGGACTGCAAATGTGATTTATAAGTTGTTCCTTTTTAACCCTTTATTAACCCTTAAGTAACAAGTTAGCTCTTATTTTTACCCTTAACTCCTTCCTCTCTTTCTTTTCTTTTTCAATACTCATATGTATGCTGTGTTTGCTTTTCCACAAATGGGGCTGAAGCTTGCTGGACAAGGTGTACTATAGCCTCTCTCTAAAATTTTAGGGTCCAGAACTTCTACTGTGACATCAACATACTTTAAATTGTTCTTATAACCAGGATTTCAATACATACGGAATGTAAAAAATCTCCAACAGTATTTTGCTGTCTATATTCCATTAGGAAGATTTACCTTCCCAATGATGGTCACTAGAACAGATGTTCCTATTGGAAGAGTTAAGCTGGCCATGGACGTCTGCAAGACATGATCAGAAACATACCCAGATGCCTGGAGCACTCCCCCATATCCAGAAGCAGCCAGTTGAGAGAAACTTGATGACTGAACTTGATGTAAGCAAAGAAGGCATGACTTGAACAGAAGCTTGTGTCAAGGTATGGATCTAAACTACTTTTCTTTCCACAGCAAGTTCCTCATCAGTGATAGAGGTATGCTTGCATTGTAGTGTTGTTCAGTGGCATTCATTAAGAGATCTATCCAGGGAAAGATTCCATGATGAAAGAGGTACCACTTGTTCTGGGACTCCAGAATATAGACCAGGAGTTGAAGATTATCTTGAAGACAAGACTTTAAAGAAGGTAGGAAGAGAAATCTGATACACCAGGTCAGGAACTACTTGTTACTCAGGGGCGCAGTTTAGTCTTCTTAGAAATTTGTTCCACAACAGTCTGAGGTAGCCTGAGAAAATACAGGAGGAAAGCAGGTGCCTCAGGGAGGATGACCCTTGACACACGATTCTCCAGCAACAGCTGAGAGACCAACAACTCCATGACCAACAGAATGAGACATTAGAGCAAGAAAGCAGTAGATTCTCCTAGCACAGAACTTTCTAGTTTGAATTGTCTTCAGGCCGATGAAAGGCTTCTGCTTTCTGATGATACAAAATCCAGCCAAATTGTGGAGAAATTGGGACTACTAAGAAAATGTTGTCCACTAAGGCCCATGCTGACGTTGCTGATGTTTTCTGAACAGAAGGATGTCTGGGTGTCCCAAAAGGTGCTATGAGTAGGCACTAGGGCAAATACTGGGGACAGTGCCCCGGAGAAAGCTTGACATGCAAGGGCAAACTAGAGAGGCAAATCTCTGGTCGGTCAGTGATCAG